TTTTATATTGTTTGAAAGATCTGATTTGTATGAATACGTATATTAATTGAACATTCCTATGATCTTTTTAAAATTCTTGGTGTTTCTACATTTATTTTTGAATTTTTGAAAATTTGAATTTATCTCTGCACTTGTCTACGTAAATTGATATGTAGAAATGACTATTATCTCTTTACTGCTAGTGTTTTTGTGTGAAAGCTGCAGTTTGATTAGTATGATTTAGATGATATTGCCTATAATCTTCTATTACCTTTGATTCGTTTGGTCGATGTTGTATGTGTTGAAGCTGTTGTTTTGCTTTGTGAGTGACATATCCGTCCCAAAGGGTTTCGGTAGTCCAACTGCGATTTTGTAAATATTCTACACGTATGACAGAACAGTTTTACGTGTTCTTGGTGTAGTTTTAAAAAAAATCTGAGCTAAATGGTACAGTTTCGAAACTTTCGTTGCCTTTCTTGACAGCATATTCAACGCATACTTCCTTTTGAAGTCAATATCTTCTACCTAAGCTACAAATCTTTTCCATCATATCTAGATTCTAATTGTGTTTTAGATGTTTTAAAGTAAACTCTGCTACTTTCCTCAGGATATATTATTACGACTTCCCTGGGTTCCGAGTGGAATGCAGAACTTCAACAGCACATCTCCGTGTAATTCTGTTCTTTACAGTCTTCTTTCCCCGACTCAACCACTATCTATAGACTCTCATCTCCTCCACGTCAGCCTTGGAAAGCCGAACTCGTCCTTTGATATTCGACTTCCACTCTGGGTTATGTCACTCAACCGCGGGAGTCCCTTGATGCTTGTCCCAGTTGTTGGTGAACACTTGCAGAAGGTTGCTAGAAATGCATTCAGTGATGTAGAAGCTCTGACTTAACATTGGTGTTGAATATTCAAATCTTGTTCTTTACGCTTAGCGCACTAGATTCCCACACTGATTTTACAGTGAGTCTGTGTGTGAGCGAGTGTGTCTTACCTTTCCTGTTCTAGATTTGACATCTTCATCCTAGTCGTGTGTAGTTGAGACGGCCAAGTTGAACTTTAGGCACCACTAACTACCAATCAGCGAATAACCTTCAACGAACCACTCACAGAAAATAGGCATTTTTGATTAAGGAAAACGTATATTTTTGGAAAAAAGCATAAAATAGTTACATAGGCTATCTTTTTCTGAAATATGATAAAAACATCTCCCAGTTTAGCATAGGAGTATCAATTGAAAAGTTACACCCCATTCCGTACATGAATTCATTCAAATGACTATAAATGGTATCCTTTTGATATCCATTTATAGTCTTAATCCTGCTTATTAATTAAACCTTCTCCAAAAGCCTTCGACAGAATTGGTGTGCCCCCTGTAATGGGGTCCACAAAATCATTAGAATAGTTAAGTGTGTTGTGAATATATCCAAGGGATGACAGGGGAGTTATAACCTTTCCACTTATCGGTGTGTATTATAGATCCCTGTCTCTATAGTATTGGTACCACTGAACTGTCAATACGAGGCCATTTTCAGTTTCAGCAGCTGCACCTCTCACAGGCTGTTTTAAAGACCAATAATTACAAATAAACAAAATCTGGGTTAAGGACAGATGAGACCTGGCAAAAAATGTTCCTACGAAATATTAGAATCATCAGCTTTCTTTTCCTGACACTAACTTGTCTCAAACAAATTGCACAACGATGGGCATATACATCAATCGACCTGCTGAAGCTGAAGCTTTTTATACTCATGATACATCAAAATGAACAAATCCTTTCCTTCCTAAGCAATACTGGAAAACCTTATCCTCAGCAAAGTGCAAGCGCAACTGCGTTACAACAGACATTTAACTCGAATCAAGCGGAATAGAAACTTTAACTCACACGGATGAAACTCATTGGACCACTCAAGGTCATTCGATGATTGGTAATTAGTGGTGCTTAAAGTTTAACTTGACCATTAAGACGATGCTGTCTAGATAAGTGAAAGAAGTTTTTTGATTTAATTTTTTCCCGTTGTTTATTATTGGTGCTTACTGTTGTTGGTTTAGGTATCTTCATCACCTCCCTGTGTTCACGTGAAATCCTGTCTTCTCTGCATGCCTCTTCTGTCAAATTGTTGGTTTTTGAATGTAGCTGTCCGAGTTTTGTAATATTATGCATAAATCGTCCTCAAAGTTTGCATCTTCCAGAATCTTCTTTTCGGACCAACATATTTTTGTCTTCTGTCTTCCTAATGATTGCCTTCTCAGCATATAAGAGTCTGTCAACTGAAGGCTTTCTGAGATAGTCTCATCGTCAGTTAGTTGTTGAGGTCCACCGACTCGTATTTCGGTGTATTATGATGATTTATAGTTAAATGATATATCACATCAAAGCACAACACTGTTGTATTTTGAATTGTTCCCCTCTGTTGTACCCGTGTCAGTCTTTTCGGGTGTTAACAGTTGAGTGTTATTAGGTTATAACTGAATCTATGATTATTAGTTTTTTACTTCATTGATTACATAGTGATTGAGGTGGTCTGTGTACCGGCAAGCGTGTGGGTGTGTGTATCGAAAGACAGATATTTGTTTCCTTTTTATGCTTAGCATAGCTTCGCAATCAGTATCACACTTCTTATAGTTTTGCATTAGTTTCAGTGATTAACATATCATTCACCTGATATCATAAACAAAAAATGTTTTTACATCCGATTGTTCCTTTTTTTCTGCAATTTTTCTATTATATTATAGTGACATAATTTATCAGATACATGTGTGAAGTAAGATTGTTTATATACAAATATATATATCTGTGTTATGTAACTTTCACATGCGCTTGCGTGCGCACGCGTCGCGTTTGACGACTGTTCAACAGCACAAATACAAATATGAAAGAATTAACTACCGCATATTTTTGATATATATATATATATATATATATATACATCATATATCGCTATTCTTCATGTTATGTTTAATATTTGTACTTTACGGCTACCTATTTCTCTTCTTTACACAAGAATAAACTGACTAGCGAGTTTAGTCTTAGTTTCAATAGTTTAAAACATTTTCTGTGTTTCGTTTTCGGACTGTTCTCTCCTTCTTTTTTTCTTTCTCTGTGTCTTTGTTGACGCTTACAAGCGAACTTAACTATTGACTGTTCTGATTGCGTTGCCTTCTGTTCTAGTTACTTGATTTCCTTTTTCAGGGGGTCATAACCTCGTTTGTAGAGGTGTGTATGTGTACTCATTTATACCTTTGCCTATATGTATACCTTATATGGGATGGGTAGTAATATTTTTCCCATATAGAAATCATTGCGTTTTTGCTGCCTTGTGATATGTTCCTTTATTTTTCCAAAAAAGTGAAATATTACAAACCAACAAACATCTATTTTGTCTTGTTTTATTGCCTAACGGAAAATTACGCTCATGCATTATATGTTTAGTGTGATTATGTAAGCCGACTATGTATGCTTTTGTTGAAGGCGAGGGGGGGGGTAGCTGTAATCAATTCAATTATATGAATAATCGTTTGTTTATTTGCATGTGGGTTCGTGTGTGTGTGTAACTGTAACAAGAATAATAGTAATAGTGAATTGCATCATAACTGATTGCGGTCTTTTTTTGTTTGCTTTTATTATTCTTTTTGGTGGGTGAATTCAGGTTATTATTTCAGTGTGAGTAGTCAGTGGTTCAGTGATAAGAGTGTTCGCGCCAACCACGCTGCATGTACTTCTGGGTTTGATCTACAGCTGGCAGACCTCTCAACCCGACAAAGAAGGAAGGTTGACCTACTGCGTAGAAATGAAACCATCTCCATTGAAACTTCAAAGCCCAAGCTTGAAGCCTTGTGTCCGTTTAGGAACGCGAAGGAAGAGAAAAATATGAATTATGGTTATTAACATTATAGTTATTATCACATAAGTAATAATAATCGACCATGATATATTAGTTTAAGAATGGCGAGTATGTTGATTGATTAATTAAACACCGGCTTGATATATTATGGACACCACGATATGCGCAATACAAAATGCCATAACTTGTTCCAGGGGTCGGATACTGCCCGGACGCCCAGATCAAAGCAGATGGTTGTCTTAAAGGTTCAAACCCCAAACATTTGACTTATATTCTGATCTGTAAAGCAATGTTACCATGGTTTCTGGCGACCGAAACAGGTTCTCATGCACTGTTCGATGCTTTCTGATTCTAGAGGCTATAAACACCATAGGTTTGGAATCGGGGTTTTCCAGCTTCCCTAGGTTGGTAGACCCGCATGTCCACTAGTCCAGTTGTAGGCGTCAGGCGTTTGTATTCGTCCCTCCACTTTTGTGAGGGTCACCTTGGCTGCATGAAAGCAGTGATAGGGCATACCTGGCAGCGGCTTTGAACATGAGAGCATTTCGTTTGGTCGTTCACATATAGATAGAGTTTTTGAACAGTTGTTTTATTGTGGCTTTGTTGAAGCCTCATCAATTTGGATGCTGATTATGAAAGCGTTATGCTTGCCAACTTTATCTCCATCCTCAAAAAATAATATTACCTGAAGTATTATTATATTTGGAATAGTTAAGAATTGTCAGGCCAGAACATACCACTATCCCTCATGAAGTAGTTGACTCTATTCTCTGCACTTCTGTGCATTAGTTCTTTGTTGATTTGTGTTTTTTCCCTTTCAGTCATGTCATGTGTATTTTCATGACTTGATTTTTTTACTGTGTCACAATCACTAATGCTGGGAAACTGTTTGCTTGTTTTTCTCTTCGCCTCCTCCTTTGAAGTGAAGTGCATTACACACTTTTAACTCTCATTCTCCGCTTGTTCAATTGTAATATATTTATATACAAGTATGTGTATGTCACATTATTACTCAAAAGAATGACTTTCCCTTAAAGTTTCATTCTTGTTTTTATGAATATATCTGTTTACTTTCTTCCGTAAGACTGTGATGTGCATATTTCTCTCTATTGTCTCTGGGACTTTATTGCCTTTATTTATTTATTCATTTAATCTATTTGTTTATCTTTACAGAATAATGTTTTATCTAATGCTGAATTATGCCATTCTGCACAAGTGGATGAAGTCACCAGTTTACAAGCTGATAATAATGAGAATGCTAACAATTTATTGTTAGAAAAAATTAAAGCACAAGAAGAATTGTTAAATGAACAAAAAGAACAATTAGCTGAATTTCAACTTCAATATAAAACAATAATTCAAGATAAAGAAAATGTATGTGATTTGTTTTGATTTGATTTTTCTCTCTCTTTTTTCATGGTATTCAGAATTTACTTAATTATGTATCCGTTTCAAATATGTTTGTACACTTTATTGGATCCTCGTTGTTGTTGTTGTTTTTGTTGTTGTTGGTGGTGGTGGTTCAATGATACAATACTCATCAACTACTCTGCATGTGGTCTGGGGTTCGGTGGCACAGCGGTTAGGACTCTCGCCGACCATACACATGGTCCGGGGTCCTATCCCCTGCCGACGCACACCTGATATCTATGGCCGGCCTGGAAAATTTGGGCTGCCGATATCACATGCTGAAAATTCTATACCTATACCAAAAAAACTGTCGTGTGGAGTCAAGCTGTAATAAAAAAAATCAAAAAAAAAAAATAATATTCCCCGCTGAAACATTCTTAAACCTCGCCTAATTTATTTGTCGATAGGAAGCCCGAAGATGTTGGGTGTGGGACTAGCAACAGCATCCTGTAATGTTAACATCACAGCTAGTGAAACTCCTTTAAGCCTAAGGCTCGAAGCTTTATGTTCCACTCGGCACACATAAGAATGAAAAGAAATAATTGGAGGCGGTCGGTACGAAGCCCTGGAGTCAGGTTACGTGTTGGTTGGCACGCGTCAGCAAGGCATGCCTGCAATCTTGAAGGAACTCATGTCTCCTTATCCAGTGCTGCAGTCAAAGATATTGCCACTGAGGGGCTAACTTCCTGTTGAGTTATAATAGATAATTTGTTTGGACACTAGTTGGAAACCGGTGTTATGCATCTAGTCTTTGATTTGCTGTAGTTTTCCCCGCGATGTCGAATTACCCATCATAGTGGTTACATCACAAACTTGACTGGTAGAATTCAGTCTACACCAACCCCAAGGGCTAAGCGCATGACATTGCTTCCTATCTAGTAATGAATCAAAGCAAAAAAGTACTTTGTTGAGTAAATTTAAACTACAGTAGCCTCAACTGAGGAACCTTTTGAATGACCTTGATAGACTAATCACAGCGAAGAGATGTTCAGACATAAATGTCTTAGGACTTCATCATGAAGAAACACGTGGTAGAGAACCATTGGAAAACCTGCAGGGAGTACTGGATAGCTGTTTTGTCCTGGTTTGGGACTCTTCAACAGTACGCACCTACAGACAGAGTTCGAATCCGGGACATGCTGGTTACTGGACGAGCTCGTAGACCATCCAGCCACTGACACCTGATTCATTTCTGACTTCTGCCAATTCACGATACGACGCGATGGCTAGCGAATGTAATCAGCAAATATTTGTCCTCACACCCGACCTGCTGTACCCTACTGGTTACGACTTCTCACTAGAGCTACAGGTAACCACCTGCCTGAATATGGCCAGTCACTAGTGCCATATCGTCAGTTGGTACAAGTTGGAATTGAGTTGGGTGTCAGTGGCTGAATGGTCTACAAGTTCGCTTTGTAACCAGAAGGTCCCGGGTTCGAATCCCGGCTGTATGTGCGTACTGATGAAGAGTCCCAGACTAGGACAAAACAACTGTCTAGTACTCCCTGTAGGTTTTCTAGTGGTTCTCTAACCGACGTCAGCTCACGATGGAATTCTGTTACTGTCTTATTTGAATATCATAATTAACTCATTAAGATGTGGTAATGTTAATATGAATTTGATTACTGAAAGTTGAGTCATGTAGTTTTCTAGTCGTAGAAATTTTGAATGATATTATTAACGCAGCCATTTAGCTAAGTGACTTGATAGTGTTGTGCTCTGTAAAGGTTTTTTGGCGGGTGGGCGGGGGGCTACAGTCACCAGGATTCAATTGGTCTGAGTTGGTTGTTTGTTGTCAGGTACAGGTATACAATCTAGATAATAGGTAGCATTCTCTTTCTCAGGTTTGAATAGATATCATTTGGGTAATCTTCGTTTTTTCTGGGTTTTTTTCCCTGCTATTATTTACCTTTAGTCTGAAAGTCGACTTGGTGAACTCGAAGGTAATTTAAATAGAATTAAGGCTGAATTAGCTGAATCCAAAGTGAAACAAGATGAATTATTAATGGAGTTGAATGGGGCACGTTCAAAACGTGATCAATTAGTCGAAGAGATATGCACAATGCTAGGTGATCTGTCTGTAGCCGAGAAATCGGATAATCTATCAGCAGTTCTCCATCAACGTATTAATGATTTGAAGGAACAAATGTAGGTTTCTCTTCTCTTTTTTCTTTTATTTTTCTGGTGATATTTGTATTGCTGTTTAACACATTCAAGTGCTTACCTTAATTGAATTTCATCTGGCTGAAGGTGTTTTTTATTTAAAAATTTTTCATTACACGTAAAAAATGTGCTGTATGGACTGATTTTTTTTTATTAACGGTGGGTGGTGCCTATCTTTACTTTATAAACATTGGATCAGGCTAACTTTGATCTATGCCGCGTTAATGTTTGTTTTGTGCGTCAGTAACTCACTGGTAGAGTGCCAACCAGCCACAGAGGTGTTCTTGGTTAGATTCTCGATCACTGTACACAGAAACCTTGTTTCGCCGGTGGTGGTAAGCACAGTAAAGGGAAGTGGCTGGGCGTGGGGTTAATAATCCTACTGAAATTCTACAGCTGAAGTCTGTCTGTCTGTTTTCAACATGGAACCTTCCAGCTGTTCAAGTCACAACACTCCCTCCATGCACCACACAAAGCAAGAGAAGAAAGTAAGAAGAAATGCATAATAGAGACAGCAAACACATATATCAGGCAAAAGGAATAGTAATATCGAAGAACAATATAGTTTCATTTGAAATCATAAGTCACGAGGAGTGGATGCATCTACGCCAGCCATTGAGAACGATTTTTAGCCATATTACCGATTGTCTTCAGCCTTCATTGGTTCTTACCATTCTGAGGACTCCAACAGGGAAGTCTCCACCTTCCTACTTGGCTTAAACTAACTTGCAGATTTCATAGACTATTGAAGCCATGCTTTCGTTTGACTACCACCACTAGGTGTTTTCCAACCTAATCCTATGTCAGCTAACATTGCGCGTCGGTCGAGGAAGGTCAAATGCCTATACAAATGAGCTACAACTCCGTGTTTTTATCTGTTCACTATACAGAGTCTTCAAGTAAAACAGTAATCTACAGTACACATCATTCGACGGAATTTCATTCCACCTATATCATGCTCCAACTTCCAGCGTATTTGGTGCCTTAGAAACAGATGATGTAATATATATGTGGTGAAAGCAGGCTGCTAGCCGATTGGTTGACACTAATCTACGTTAATATCTAGGTCACTAATATGGGCCGTGAGAAAATACGAACAAGGCTGTTTCACCAACCAATACAGTAATACAGGTGATCACCAACGGAATAGAAGTGGATCAAACTACGGCGAGTAAGGAGCTAACCACACTACTCAGACAGAGGGATCGACTCAGAGTGAATGCCTACGGGACTCTGACCTGGCGAGAGAACGACGGAAGCTGGCTGGCTGTCATACCTCAATCGTCGCGCCACGACATGATAGAAGAATGTCACCAGCTAGCGCATACAGGCGTGGCCAGAACGACCGACCTCCTAAGACAAAGTATGTACTGGCCAGGTATGAGAGAAGACGTAGCAAGATACGTACTTGGATGTCCACGGTGCCAGCTGATGAAAGGTGACCGGTGTATACGACCACCACTTCAGTCGATTCCAGTTACCGCGATAGGTGACTTGTGGTCCGTAGATGTCATGGGTCCATTTCCTCAGACATCCAATGGTAATCAGTACCTCTTGGTGATGACGGAACACGCGACACGATGGGTAGACGCCGTAGCAATCCCAGACCAACGTGCAAGAACCGTGACAGATGCAGTAGTTAGACACATTGTTGCAGACCACGGCGTACCGAAGACAATACTGACAGACCAAGGTCCCTGTTTCGAGAGTGAAGAATTTACTTCCCGTTTGCAACAGCTGGGCATCAAGAGGATCAGAACGACCCCATACCATCCACAAACGAATGGCCTAACGGAGAGAAACAACCGTACACTGAAGGAGTGGCTGGCCTCGAAGGGCGGTAACTGGGAAACGGAACTTCCGCTGATTTTACTGACATATCGTGCTACCACTCAGGAAAAAACGAAGAAGTCACCCTTCCAACTGATGTATGGTAGAAAACCACGATTACCAATACACAACGAGACCTGGCCCAGTCACCAAAAATGGAGTACGACGAAATTAAAAGCAGAGCGGAAAGAGGCAGTCAAGAATGTAATGAAGAAGCAGCGGAGTGATGTCGCGAAGTCTCAGCTGAAAAGAAAGACCCAGTGCAATATCTTTGCAGTCGGGGACCAAGTGAAGTGTAGAGACAAAAGATATACAGTTGGATGCGGGCCAGGTTCACGAAACCTCCTTCCAAAGTGGGAAGGACCGTACACAATCACAAAAAGACGTGGTCAAGTATATACCATCCGAAGAGGTGATAAACAGAATCGAGTTAACGCCAGTCAGCTCCAGAGATGGGCACAGTGGGACAAGCCGGTCAGTAACAATCCTCAACTAGAGGATGTGGCACCCAGAAGGTCGGAACGTCTGCGCACGAAGCTATTTGACGGGGGTACGAGTGTGGTGAGAGCAGGCTGCTAGCCGATTGGTTGACACCAATCTACGTTAATGTCTGGGTCACTAATATGGGCCGTGAGAAAATACGAACAAGGCTGTTTCACCAACCAATCACAGCAAACTTAAACGTGGACAAATATGATTCGCAGATAGATGGCTCTACTTTCCGAGAAATATCGAAAACAACCAATCATAAGACTGTGTTTGTCTGCCTAACTTCCGAAAACAACCAATCAGAAGACTGCCTTTTTCTGCTTGCATAAACCTTATTGATGTACATAAAATATATATAAATACGTGTTGATTTTCGTAATAAAACGATCTGTTGCCAGCCCTTGTCTTCTGTTGTTACATATATATATTGAAAGTCATTCTAAAACGTTTATATAAGTGTAGATTGTTCTCTAAGGAAGTGTATGGTTAAAGAAAAGCTACTACTGGATAGATTTGACTCATTATGTATGCTTTGTAGAAAACTGGGCAGCCTAATAATCTAAACAGGCTGCCGTGAATATCATTTACACACCTCACCGTCTAAGCGCACCTCGTACCTTCAATTGTGACCAGTATTAATGCTGTCCGACATAACGATAGGCGGTGTACTTAACTCCTCGTAACGCCTTACGCTTTAATGTGGGGAATAGTCTCAAATCTTATGGTGAATTGAGAATTGATTAAAATCACAGCATGCGTAAGAATGTCTAAGCGAATTTCTGACTAGTCGATATGGTTTACAATATTTTTTTGGAATTTCCAATAAACTTTAGGCACCATATGGCAAAGAATCTTAAATCTTACTACCCTTGTATATATTTTTTAATGTTTTACTAAACTGTTAATTCATATTGAACACTTATAATAAAAATACTATTTTAGCGACAGAAATGTTTGTTTCTTTTCGATAAATTCCTCTCTCCAGACCGCATAATAATTGCAAGTCTATGCATACACACACGTACACACCGAAGCAAGTGTGAAACATAAAAGAATCGTTTTTAAAAGAGCTATTTTTGTCTTATATATATATATATATATATATATATATATATATATATATATATATATATATATATGTTCAACGGATATATGTTTTGCAATTAATTAGTAAATGATGTATTTGCGTGATTAGCTGATTTGCTAATGAACAGCAATACCTAACCGCCTAATAAAGTTGAGTGAATTCTAATCTTTTAGATGAGAATTCGTGCGTTGGTGGTTCACAGTAATAGGAATGCTAACCAATTACGCATGTGGTATGAGTTCGATTTCTGGTCGACTCCACTCTTAAGCTTCTCTCAGCTTGTGGTAAACCTGACAAAAGCGGAAGGTTTGACGTGAGACTAGCGGAGTCACTGCGCAGACGAAAACACTACCGTTACCGAGGCCCTATGTCGCATCGAGAACTCAAAGAAATGAAATATGTTAAGAAGTTAGGAATACAATAACAGAGTAAAACTATTATTCAGTAACTTACTGATTGTCACTAGGCGACGATGACAATAAAATTACCCTGTAAACAATCACTTCTGTTTCATTCATATACCTTCCGAGTGGGGAACGAAAAGTTTCAAGCTGTTAAGTACCAACAGCGTTAATGTTGCTAGCCCCAATCTTTTTTTTTCTTTTCCAAACTTACTTACTGGCTAAGAAACTAGGCGATGTCTAGGAACGCGTTAATTAGGAGTCAAAACTCGAATTACATAAAGCGTGGTTGGTGAGCAAACACAACTTCTACATCGGATAGTGTAAATATTTCAGAAATATTAGGAAAATTTTGAAGCATTTATAAAGTCGGTTGCAGTTGCTCAAAGTAGACTGAAAGTTGAGTAGATTTTCTCTTCTCTCTCTCTCTCTCTGTGTAAATCAGGTTTGTTCCCAAATGATTCCTCTAGTCTAAGACGGAAATTATTCTGAGTTCATAGGGTTTTTTTTGAATTATTATACCTTACATTTGCAGTCACCAATTATGTGATTAGTTTGTATGTAAAATGGACTTATGTTGTCAATCATGCATATTCCGAATATGTGTGAGAGCGCACGATTTCAGGTTTATTTTCATGCGTAAATTATCATCTCTTTAATTTATATTACTTTTTGATGATTAGATCATATCATGAAAAGAATCGTCAAGATTTGCAAAAATACTGTCAAACTCTAGAAAGTGAACGTAATGAACTTGAAAGTGAACTGACCAGAGTGAATGTAACTTTGAAGAATGCAAGTGAAGTAAGTTAATATCAACTTTTAATATTTATTTATTTATTTATCTTGTCATTTCAAGATTGATCACAAAATGATTTCGGTGAGAAGAACCATTAGAAACTGAGGGGTATTGAATAGCTCTGTCGTCTTTGTCTGGGAAACCCCCATGAGCCCACCAGGAATCGAATCAAGGACTTTCAAGTTAAAAAATGAGCTGGTTGACTATTCAGTCACTGTGACGGGATTCAGTGGCTTACCATGTCTAGGGTGAGGACTGATACTCACTGATGTTTCATCCTTGTTTGGGACTCCTCACGAGTTGGCAGAGTTCGGGAATGATGGATCATTGGACTCCATCCTGGTTACTGAATGGTCAATGAGCTCGTCGTATAACCCTGATGGTTTTGGTTTCGACCCCTGTCGGTGGGGTGATGAGTGTGTACTGGTGAAGTTGTCCCAAACAAGAATGAAACAGCTCTTCTGCTTCTCAATGGTCTCCTAACTGAAGACACTTCACTATCACTCTTGAAATAAGTCAAATCTCTGTAAATGAACACTTGAGAATAAGTTCTTATTTAAGAGTTTATTCTCAGCTAGATAAAACATGTGATCAACTTGAGGTATTCGTTCTGTTTGCTACTCACCAGTTAACTATCTGGTTCGTCGACTTTGAAGTGATACATGTATTCCCTTCATAATTATGGAAATCTACGCGTCACTTAGTTTATTGATCATTCTGAATGTGTGTTCGGTAAATTTGATAGTTACACTGGTTATCGCTAAAAGTGTAACATACTCATCGTTCAGTCTTCATCAAGTATATGGGATAATCTTCCGTTAGCGTGTTTTCCTTAATTTATATGCTTTTGATGGGACAATGAACCAAGAAACTTTACTCTAGACAACTTTCTGAAGGAGACGGAGATGGATTGTACCCGCACTGATGAGATCGTCGAGTGACACCCAACTCGAAGTCTTTAAGCAGAACCGGGAAAGGAAACAACAAGTTGGGCATAGATCCGATGGAAATGATAATTCATGGGCAATCATATGCAACGACTAAACATGTACTACTAAATTCCTATGTTTCACTCAAAACCCAAGTGAATTATAATTACATTATTAAACAGTCTGTAATATTATTTGTATTACTCTTAATGTTTGGTTCTATGTCATCAATGCAAGCAGACTGACTTATATAAATTCATCAGTTATGAATCCCAATCTCCTTTGATTTTTAATCTATACCGACTCACAATATCGCGTTTTGCTAATCAAATAACATTGGTAATCAACCATGTTAGGTTGATTTAGAGATGCTTAAGATCACAGCTTCTTATCATCACTTTACGGGGTTTATTTGAAGTCGCTTTAGATTGTTTGAAAGCGACATTTGTTCCATGGGTCCTTCATTTATTAAGTAATTTCTGGTTCATCCGTAGGTTGAATTGTGTGAGTATTGTTGTGGAATTTCATGGGGTGTCTGGACTTGTTCTTGAGATTTGTTCGAAGGGAATATATTTTGAAATACAAGTAATTTGATTGAGTATTTCACATTCCGCTTAAATATGCATTGATACTTTTCGAAAAATAAAACCTTACTACTGAACTACTACTTAAGTAGTCGCGCATCTAAAGAAACATTTTGACAACCAAACGTGGAATTTAATGTAATTGTTTAGTGTGAAGTGGTAAGACTATTGTCTTCAATTGCATTACTTTCATTTTACGTCTACCACGTAAAAGAGTAATATGTTGGTCTCAGTAAACAGATACTTGTCCATATTTTATGGGTATCATCAATAAAAAGTAGGTTCACAAAAAGTAACTCCTCTCCGCAATAGAAGGTTATGCAAATTGCTTAGGCGTGTTTTCTCATAAATGTTCGAGTCTTTTTCCTACACGCATTCCGTTTATATCTTATCGACTGTATTTACTATGAAACTTCTAATTCGCGTTGTAAAGAGAGCAAGGTATGACGTAATTGCTGTATGTTCGAATGTATATAAAAACTAATTCTTTATTTAAGGTTCTTATCCTCTCTTTCTTTTCCATACTGTTATCAGGTACAATCTGATAGTGCATCACTGAAAGAAGAACTTGATACTGTGAGACAAAAGTAAGTTATATCTTAATTTGTATTTAAAGTGTGTGGTCGACATGTGTGTGTATGTTTATGTAACAGATTATTATTTTAATGACATTTCCATTGTTTTGTTAATTTTGCGGTTGAGACGTACTCGCTTATGTGTCACAGACTTATCAGTGCCCCAATTATTTGATCATATATATCTCAGTGGACAGCAGCTATCAATAGCTCTTTGACAAGAGGCAACCAAGAACCTTTCGCCCAACAAATATGCAAAAAGGAATCCCAGCCGATAACTGCTACCTTGACGTGCTGGTCGGGCTTGCACATCGCAATGACCCAACAGTCTACACTGGTTGGAACTATTGTTCCTGCAGGTCCTACTATCCGAGGAAGGTTGTTAGGATAGCGGTTAGACTAAAAGCAGTTACTGGCTTAGTGTAAGAACTTTCTTTACACTGTGCTGAGGGTCCGTGGGAGAAGTTGTACTGCTGGGGGACAGTGATGCAACAGCAGTGAGGTTTTTCCCTCATACGACCAGCACGCCAGCCAGCTATTCTGTCTCTTCACTCCGGAGGAAGGGGGTTAGAAAAGGTCGACTCCAAAAATTGTACATCTCGACTTACCCTGCGGTGGTTCATAACCGGTGGTAAGTTTACTAATACGGAACCAGTCCAAGAAACCAGTTCATACAGGCCGCATGGGACCGGCCTGAAGCAGTTGTTCCCTGGGCTCTGCGGTCACACAACACTCTCTCTGTTTCAGGTACCCGAAGAATCAATCAACTACCACGGTGTGTCCAGCTGGGAAGTAACAACCGCCCACACACTTCCAAGAGTACACGAAGCCTCCCTGAGCATCGTTTTCCTTTACCCACATCACCTTCATCTTAATCCACTACTGCAGTTAGTACTATTCTTCAGACAGCGAAAAGAAGCGGAGGTGGATCGAATCTACTCTGAGGTGACCGTTCAGTAGAATCACATATCATGTAAAGCCTAGGGTTGAAGACAAACGGCAGACGACAAGTTGGGCATGTATGCGAGTGTAACATAATGAAGGAGATCGTGTGAGAAGGTAATGGTAGCTTGTGGGCAATCATGGAGCCATCTTAAGGAGACTTCAGAGAACAGGAAGAAATGGAGATGTACTACTGAAGACTTATATTCTACTCCGAACCAAAAAAGTACTTGTGATGCTCAGTGAGTGAATGCGCTCTCATCGGGACTCGAACTCAATTTCCTTCGTTTCAAATGCTAAACATTATCCAAAACAATTTGGTCTCGAAACATCGTCCAGTCATCTGCACTAGGAACGAATGCGTCAATAGAACCTAGACATTTCGGTTCAAACAGTTAGCAGAAAAAATGAAGCTGGCTGAGACAAAACAATAACTTACCCCTGTCGCACAAGAGGGGGTGGCTCTCATGATCCAAGTGGTCCAGTTGGTAACGCTTTGGTGTTTGAAATGGAGGGTATTAAGTTTGAGTCCTGATGGACGAATTCAGCACCTAATGGGGAATCATATCCACTTAAATCCCACTGCAACTATTGAGATCTGAATGATTATGCAGTGTGATTGCGTTTTGAAGAAAAGTTGTGTATTAATTGTTCGTTAACTACAAAAGCGTGATCCTGTGTCACAATACTTCTTTTCTTAAACGTACTTTTTCTACGCTGTGTGTACATCTTGTCAGTGATAAGTTTCTAGATAAGCCTTTACTGAGGTTTTTTCTCCCCCCCCTTCCACTTATCTCTCTTTTGGTTTTTAGAATGCTTTCATTAGAGAAGAGTGCTTCAAATGCATTTGATCAACTTGAAGTAAAGTCGAATGAACTACAAGCCATACAAAATCAATTAGATAAAGTATTGGCTGAGGTATGTTCCATAGTTGTAGCAGTAGTTGTTTATAGTTTATGTTATATATCATTAATTGAATATCATGTTTGTATTGTTTTTTTTTTACGTTTCAATACCCCACCATCACCTATGAATATAGAATACAATTGTCACACAGTCTCTCTGGTGTGAATTAACATACTGTCATCTCTATGATATTATAAATGGTAATTAATAAAGCAAATGATATAGCATGTTTTTATTAGTATTCATATCCACCAGTATTCATTACCATCATGCTATATCGCTTACTTTCTTGATCACAATTTATGACATCCATCAAAGAGATCACGTGTTTTGATCTAAATATTTTCGATTTCCCAAGTAAACTGTGCTGAATTCCCACTTTGAATTGTATAATTTACAAATCTGGTCCCCTGTGTAATACCGGTCCACAAGAATTCTAGAGGTTTCAAGGGATTCATCTTTCTAAGTTCGGTTAGCTTGTGTACAACACTGATTACCTCGACTGTAAACAAATGAAACAGTTGTTCAGTGTTTAGGTCACTTCAGTCTGGTTGGAAAGCAATACTACCTAATGTGAGTGGTTTTCAACTACTTACTTTAATCAGTAATATATGCCTGTGAATATATTCTGCATGTTATTTCAAGCAATTATTGAGTAATTCGTATCGATTTGATTATTGTATATAATTATTCTCTTCTGTTGAGTTGTATTTTAACTTACTCTGATCGATATATTCCAGGTACTTTGTACTCTAATAGCGTAGCAGGGTAGTGTCCGAACCAAGCCAGTGAATTTGCTCTTTGTAAGCTAAGCTTTGAAACTTAGTCATCTGTTGATCATGTTCCAGTTTCAAGTCACCTTTCACTAAGGATTATTCAAGTATTGGTTTGTAGGGATTCGGTCGATTGGTTACAGGATTTCATCATGAACTGACATTAGTTAGAGTACCATTGGAAAACCTGGGCCATTAGATTGGGTCTCAGTGGCTTAATGGTCTGTGAGCTCGCCTTGTACTTAGAAGGTCCTGGGTTCGAACCCTGGTGTGTGGACACTGCTGAAGAGTCCCAAACTAGGGCGAAACAGCTGTCCAGTAGTACTCCATGGTGGTTTCCAATGGTTCTCAAACCAATGTCAGCTCATGATGAAATCCTGTCACCACTAAGGATTGTGTTTGGTTATGCTGTTAACTCTCTGTTTCAGTTAATGTGATCACAATGATCACAGCAATATTGAATCATTTTGAATCACCACTGGTGAAGCCAGTAGATTAATTGTTCGCGCAACCATTGTTATCTCTTATTATGCTTAGACGTTCCGTTTTGCGTTGAATTATTGTTGTGTTTCTGTTTTTTTTTGCTAGACTTTGTTGCAATTTGTCATTATACTTCTTCTTCTTCTTGTTTTCATTAGCAAATGGAACATGAAAAAGTGCATAATCATACTATTACAGTTTTGGAAACTGAGAAACAAGTATTATTGGAACGTATTCAAGAGGCTGAAAATCGCTTAGCTCAACAACAACAACAATCAAAACTACCAGTACTTAACAGTAAGCTATTTCCTATATGCATATGTGGTGGTGGTACACAATTCTGTTTGTCACTGAAGTGAGTGTGCGTCGGTGGTTGGTACTCGGCAGTAGAATCCTCCTTAACCATGCACATGGATGGGTTCAGGCGTTCGATTCTCAGCGGACGCATTCCTAAACCTCGTATAGGTGGGAGTAAAACCTGAGGAATTCGGAAGGTTTGGTGCGATACTAACGCATAAATCCTGTGAAAACGGTACCACCTCTGCTTAAACTTCATAGCTGAAGTTCCACTCAGAATGTAAAGGAATGAGAAAAATAAATTTGATCAGTGTAGACTGTGAGTATTATTGAAAAGTTGGAGTAGAGTAGAAGTTAATCCAGTTGACTGAATAAATATTTCTCCATGGATGATCGTCTATTTGGGTATTGAATTTCTGTCGCTATCAAGTTTAAATTTAAGTGTAATACAAGTGAGACATTTTACGCCTTCATCTATATAATCTGCTTTGACGTCATGTGTGATGTACCGTTTTTTTCTTTCAATGCTCATAAAGAAGCATATCGACTTAATGACTTCACCTCATTGCATACATCATGGATAACAGTGTTGATGGTAAAACTATTTTGGAGGCAAGTGAAGGTTAAAGCGGTAGCAGTTCACCGGTCCTACAATCCCACTGCAACTGAGAATCGTATTTTTCACCGTCACTTATGAGCCACATAATCGATAATCATATTGTTTGTGGTCTTTTTTCAAGTGAAACAATTTTGATCGTACTTCTCTACGGGTGGAATTCGCTGACTGACTTACTGACTAGTTTGTGACATAGAACTATGCACAGAAATGGAGCCGTTCAACTTGCCACACTATGAAGCACACAAAAGAAAGACAGAGGAGAAAAAAAGAGACTCGTGAGACCGATACTAAGCAGAAGTGTGGCAAAGAAGAAGAAAGAATAATATGGAGAAACAATAGGGTTTTACTGGATTTGATAAATCACAAGGAATGAATCCATTTGCGTCATTAAGAGCGATTTTGAGCCATTTCATCAATTGTCTCTAGCCTTCATTGGTTCTTACCATCCTGAGAACCCCAACCAGACAGCAGTCTACACCTCCCTACATGGCTGGTTCAAACTGATGCGATGTTTTGATTTGACCACCATTGGTTCTTTTCCAACCTGATCTTATGTGTCGGCTAACATCGACCGTCGAGGAAGGAGATGGCTAGGCATATGTAAAACATGTCCTAACCATCTCCCACACCCTTTGATTGATAGCCGGTCGAGTATCATGTCTACACCAGAGATGATGTACAGGTTGACGCAAAACCACACCAGCCTTTTTCTTATCCATGCTGAGATTTTGTCAGCAGTCAGTCCGTTGCGGCTGATGTGGTCAACACGCTCTACCACTTCTGTCTGTCTGTCTGTCTTTGAGCTAGGAATCAATGTAGTCCAGTCTTTTAGCCAAATCGGGTTCCACTTGACTATTTATTTTGTATACTCTTGATAAGTGTGATTCTAAAATTCTTTGGGAAGGTGGTTATCTTCTAGTTCCGGTTTTATTGTTTTTCATATTTTAAGCTTATCTTGTATATTTTTTTTCTCTTAAACCAAAAAGAGTTAACATTTCTCAATTTTTTTCAGGGATCTGTCTTATTCTCTTTTTCTTATTGTGAAAGCGAACTGGATCATTACAAAAAATTATTTTTTAGTAATATATTAGGCATGTATATATATAAATGAAACAGATCTTAAACTTATCTAAATCTTTAGGCTTAATCCTAAGGCATATAAGTAAAAAACAAAAGAATAAAAGAAATACCAGTTGATGGTGTGTGTGTGTGTGCGCGTGTGTGTGTGTCGGTGTGCGCCTGTATATTTCCTCATATTCAATTTTTTCGTGATGGTGTGTTTCATTAGTCTTCGTCCTGTTGGAATTTCCCGCATTTCTTTTCTTCGCTTCATATTCGCCTTACTCGTATTCATAGACATTTTTGTGTATATGGCGCTGGCACAGAAATGCGCTGATGGATGATGGTTTAACCCTTCCCCCGCCACCCGCGCTGCCCGCCAACCGCTCGCCCTCCTTACCCCCCTTTTTTCATTTAGGTTTGCTTGTTTTAATCCTTTATGGTTTAAAAGAGTCTAAAAGAAAGTTGGAAAAAAGCAACAGCAACAACAATGACACGAAGAAGGAGAAAGAGAAGAAAAAAAGCTTATCGCATAACTTTTCACCGATCAATGTTAATTTGAACTTCTTTTTTTTTCTTCTTGCTTTTCTTTTCTGGCTCGTGGCCAAGTTAACTAAGCTGGCTGTCTGATAGTTTAGACAATATATTTTTCTATTCTTCTCAATAAAGTCGCTTTCTTTCGCTCTCTCTCCTTCTATCTCTCGCTATCTTTGGTTATCTGTCTTTATCGCTTCGCCTTTCTGTGTGTGTGTGTGTGTGTGTTTGCGTGTATTTTTATCCTTATTATTATAACCATACGCAAATGTATTACGTGAAAACATGAGTTTTGTGATATATATATATATATATGGGGACAGAGAGCGGGGGCTGTCTCATTGGTTCGATCCCTTGACTCTCAACCACGGGTTCCAACTTCGTTTCACCTACCGAGGCTTGGACAGACACTTAGTATCGTGCACTTTGCTTCTACTCAGAGGGGCGTTTGAATAGCCCTTCGATATCTCTGAATATCCTACTCATTTATTCTGCTGTACACATGTGATCAGTCGTTATTACCCCCATTTATGTCTTTGAAATTATTCCTCTGGAAGATAAAAATCTAAGTAAACGTGGTTAACAGATAATTCGGTCACGTAGCTGGCAGTCGGCATCGCGATAATGTACTAAATTCGTCGTCTTCATTTTCAGCTGACCAAAAAATGAGAATAAATTGAATAGTGGTGAGTGAGGGGGAGGGTATAACCAATAAACTATATCACAAAAATATATCATGCGATATCACAGTGTTTCGTTTCGAATAATTAAACAGAGACTGTATGAAAAGGGATTATTTGCATACGTTATGAACCGTATCCTGTTCTCTATTTTTGTCCGTTTGCATTCCGAGGGGAATTTATGGGCTTCAAGTCTTAAGGTTTGAAATTTCAGTGGTGGTGATGTTGTTCTCACTCCAGACCTATCCTGTTTCTCTGACTTATTGATAGCCATAGTAAATTAAGTGAGGTTTAATTAGTGCATCGGTCAAAAATCGAGCGCTTTACCGCTGACGCACGTATTCTATTATGTTCAATATTTCCTGATTGCTGGTTGATAGTTTTGACACATTTACTTGACCTTAAACTCACTACGATCTATTTGGTATTATTATCACCATTATTCCACTAAGTTCCTGGTGGTTTCGGCAGTGTTGACAATCTGAATCTTGTTCTTTAAGCTTAGTGCAGTAGATTTCCGCACTGATTTCAGAGGAATGAAGAGGTCTGTGTAGTCTTCCTGATTCTGGTTTTAAAATCATCCGTGCCGCGTACAGCTGAAATGATGCTATCTTGATTAATGAAAGATGTGATTTCTTTCATATATCTCCTGTTGATGGCAATTCAGGCTTGTTGTTGTTGTTGTTAGTTAGTTAGGTACCTCTATCATCTCTGTGTTCTCTGTTCACTTGAAGTCCTGTCTTCCCCACCTGCCTCTCCTGCCAACTTGTTGTTGGTTTTAGACTGTAGATTTTCTAGTCTATATGAGCTTGAACATAAACCATACACAAAGATCATATCTTCTTGGGTCTTCTTTTTGGTTCAACGTACTCCTGTGTTCTTACTCCCCATGGTCTGTCACTTGATCTAGTCCACCACAATTGGCAAGACCATCCGTAATAGTAGACAACGTTGTCTTACTGCCATCTTCACTTCAAAGGCTTATCTGAGCCTTCTGTTTCCAATTACTCGTCATATGGTATCGGTATATAACCGTTGAATGAGACTGATAGAGGTTTGCGACGCTGCACTCCGTAGTGTTGAAGAAGTTTCCCAATCACTTGACGTTTGACGCTGTTCAAGTTACGCTACATTATTTTGTCCATTGTTTTTCAATAGAATCCCCAGTCTACAATATTTGTGTGTGAATTCCTCCGATATTATGTATCCTAATTAGGGTTTTCGATCTTTGTTATGATGGCCTTGATATCCCTCTGATTCATATTATGCTCGTTACTAAGTGTTTTTTTTAGCTTTGCATGAGTTTTTAGTGAATTTTTGAAATAGTTATTCAGTGTGGTGATGTTTTCATTATCTGTCTTACTTCTTCATACAGACATTCAGATGTACCTTTCAGTTGACTGGGTAGTTGTGATCAAATGAATAATATCTCCACTCGTAGCAGATATCTATCGTCATAGGTAGTTAGGAATATGTTTCTCCTACTTTGGAATTACAGTAGACATATGGCAACGATAAACTTATTGTCTTAAAAACACGATACACTCGTAGTTTTTTTATTGGACACTAGTAACTAGTGTGATATGTCTAATCCTTTCTTTGTTGCAGACTGAATTGTATCAGTCAGGTTTGCAATGTGGCTACCATTCTATGTAGCTCGCCATCACGGTGCACATTGATTCGATAATATATTGGATAGTTGGAGGCAATCGGCCACAGAAAGCCTTGTACCTAGGTTTCGTGCTAGTTGGCACTCATCAGCAAGGCGTATCTGAAACCCTGAAGTAACTTATATCCCTTCTGAGATTCGAACCTGCGTCACCCAGTGGGGCTGCAGTTAGAGACGTGACCACTGAGCTATTGGAGCTCGCAATTGACCTCCTGTAGGACTGTAGTGGATATTTTGCAGCACTGGGTGATTTGGGTTCGAATCTCAGAAGGGACATGAGTTCCTTCAGCATTGCAGACACTCCTTGCTGACTGGTGAGTGCCAACTAGCACGAAACCTAGGTCCAAGGCTTCCTGTCGATTGCCTCCAACTATCTAATATACTCGTAGTTTCTTCACACAGTCACATACTCAGATAGATATCAAGTTGTACGTTTCAATCAGAAAAATAACTAAGAAAATGTGACGTATTAGCTTGTAAAAGAAACCGGCTTTGTATCATCTCACCGTGTGTTAAGTAAAGGCAGAATTCATTAGATTTCCATTACTAATTCATTTCCACTTTTCTCTGTGTTGAGTTTACAGTGTTGTTCGCTCATAATATTCCCAGTGAATATCACTTCATTTGCCCTTGGTTTGTGTGATCTTGTTAGGCACAATTTCTCAATAAAATATTCATCTCGGATATAATCACAGACATGTGTTTCCTTTGTTTTAGTGAATCAAGCAAGTCAAGAGTCTGAAAAAGTTGACGTCAATCGTCTACTTGAAGAGAAGGCGTCATCAGAAGCTCAGGTCAACTTTTTAAATTCAATTATTGTCGATTTACATGCTAAAAATGCTGAATTAGAATCACGAGTAAGAGCAATGCTTGTTGGAGCAGATGAACATTTAGAGTAAGTTGTATTGCTCATTGTTTTGTTGTTGTTGGGTTTTTCATGTAGCCTTTTCAGTTTATACTAACTTCTTATTGACGTTAACGTTGGATTCTGTTATGTAGGCTTTTGAACGCTGCAATAATAACTTTTTCAAGCCAGTCTAGATGGTCCACTAATTCTTTGCATATGTGTATGTATATATGTTCTGATTATTTCCATACCGTTTTGATGGGCAGGGGGGGGGAGGGTATTTCCTTTTGTTTTTGTAGCCTAAGTCAATTAGCTTAATAAACACTAATCATTTCACATATTTCAGAAGTCTTTAGAGTATACTGATTATCAGTCACGGTTTTCAAAAATCCCTACAACATATGTGCATAAGTGTCACATTCTATAACTCTCATGTTCTTTACTAGATATCCCCTTATTGCAATATGATATTCAGGAGCTTACTGGGTAGGTGTATGTTATGACCGAAATTCAAGTATTTCAGTCTGAGCGTAGGGAGCCAATCGATGCATTCCATTTCTGCATCGCTTATCAAGCTTCCGCGATCAACCCGCCATCCAAAATTATGCTAACAGTATTAAAAGAACAATTTGGTACGATAGAATCTGTGGTAATATTCAACAATAATAGCCTACGTTGAAAGTTTAAAAAAACCTACATCAACAATGCTCTAAGGTCAAGCAGTCACTCTTCACATTCATGTTAGCACAGCTCTTTTACGGCATTTTCTACCTTTTTTTCCAATCTCTCTTCTATTCTCAGGTATATTTTATCAGTGAGTTTCTGGTGTGTCTAATTGCCACTTAACTCTGGCAGACGTCTCTTTCTCGTCCTATCAATCGCAGTGTTTACTTAATATCTGGTGAAGTTCCTGATGACGATTGTGGGAGTCATTTGACGACTAAAAGCTAACGCACTTAACACTGGGTTTATCCCGTTGTTCCACTCAATGGGTCCTATGAAAAAACTTGGTCTACTAATCTTGATCAAAGTACTGAGTCGGTTACCTTCTGGCATGTGCAGTTATATCTTCTTCTTAATGCCTGTGTTATACGCATGTCAGCTAAAAACATTCGTTGATATTCACTGTTGTTTGAGAAAACTATTCGATTTCGCTATTCTTTACTTTCTAGCTGGTGTTCTCTTGTCGTTTATAAGGGTTTAGAAGCTTGTCAGTTATGCGAAGGTGTCAGTTGTCAGACTAGAAAATCCTAAGAAAATGTGTGTTTGTAAAGGAGAATTGTTTGTTTGATTAATATTTTGGCGCGTTATTTCAATATCGTTAAATAATGCTAGTGAGGTATTGTTAGTATCTGGCTTTACGACTACTCAAAAGTTCTCGTTCCTTCCTCACACGATCTCCTCCTTATCATCCTCAAGTGAAAAGCAACAAGTTGGCAGAAGAAGCATCAAAAATAGGACTCCAAGTAAACATAGAGAAGTTTCCTGGCCAACACCAACAGTGGACAACAATCAGCATAAATGAGAGGAACCTGAAGGAAAAAACCTCCTTCACCTACCCACCCACCTAGGAAGCATAGTTTCAACTACAGGGGGATGGAACTGACGACGATATCAAACCGAGGATCGGGAAAGCACGACAAGCTTTCATTTCTCTCAAGTCTGTGTGGAGATCAACAGTGCTCAGCATCAAAAATAAGATGTCGATTTTCAGCTCAAATGTAAAGTCAGTTCTACTTACTATACGGATCAGAGACTTGGAGCGTCACGAAGGACACTTCGAACAAACTACAGGTCTTCATCAACAGCTGTCTTCGCTCAATACTACTCAGGATCATATGGCCGGCGAGAAAAGGTCAGCAATAGTGAGGGATCTCTGGCAATGAGCGAACCAACCAGGAACCGATTATGCAACAAATATTCAGGGAGCAATGGAGGTGGATTGGCCATACTCTGAGGAAACCATCAAATGACATCACTAGACAAGCCATTACTCGAATGGAACTTGAAAAGGAAGCGGCGAGTTGGTCGTCAGTGCAAGGGTGACTTGGAGGAGGTCATGTGAAGTGGAGATGAAAGCATGTGGGCAGACCTGGAGTCAGGTGAAAACTTTAGCAGAGAACTGAATGCAGTGGAGACGTGCAGCTGAAGCCCTATGTTCCTCTAGGAATTAAAGGAAATAATAATAATGTAATTGTGAGAAGTCCGTTGTTGATAAAAGTCGGCAGCAGGTTGTTAGAAATGCTTTTTGTGATTCACCGATTGTCTGACCCTGAGTGCTTAGTGCAGTAGATTTACACAACAATAAAGTTCTGTCTTCGTTTTCTGTTCCTGTCCGGCTTTGGCATTTCATCCATGACGTTTTTAGTTAAAGTTCGTGAGAGTAATCGCTGTCTAATTTACTTCTTTTAGTTTTGAAATAGGAATATTTTTCAATTTCTTCAAAAATCATAATTTCAGCTGCTTTAACTACTATTTTCACTATTTTTTTTGGTGAATACCACATCGCAAAAGTATACATCTTTCATCTGATCATCATGTTTATTATCATCAACCTGTTGTCTTCAGTTTTTTTCTCTGTTATTCTATTTGTGGTCTCTTCGTTCATGTTATCAGTCAGTTCGTTATCCAAATTGAAATCAGTCAAATACCTGTAAACCATCACATGAAAATTAATCTAGCCGATATTAGTGACTGACTGATTGCAGGTGAGAGGTCTTGATCACCGGTTTCCACCTAGCTGGGTATGAGAGTAGATACACTTAACGGTAATATTGACTGGCGGTTGTAATATATATATTACGTATTGCCATAAGTTAGAATCGATGGGCTAGCCATTGTATTTCTTACCAACGACAGAATAGTAGACGAACTTGTCTTATAACATGAAGGTCCTGGACGTAGGATGATGGGTGGGTGGGTGGTTACTGCTAAAAAGTCCCAAACACTGATGAAACAGCTGTCCAGAACTCCTTTGTTTTCGTGCAAACCAACCAACCCTTCATATCAAATGATAATACTTGACGTGATGGTTCCCCGTGATTATCCAGTGAAACTTGTTCCAAATGAGGCTAAATCATTTTGGCAAGCAAGCCTTTTTTAGATTAGTAATTCTGTTAGTAGCCTGCCTGTAGTATTTTTTGTTTTTACATGTCAAATAGAACAGACAAATCGATACGTCAAAATGTGAACCTCACGTCATCTAAAATTAACTTACCTGCATGTATATATGTGTTGTCTAGTACATTCTTCTCTCCTTCTTTTTTATTTTTCAAAATGTCAAATTAGAAATCATTTGTTTACAAAGTTGAATGTGAATATTTGTAATATCATTTGCATACTGACTGTTATACTGGTACTCTGACTACTACTCAATATGCTTATCTTATCTAATTGTATCATCATCATCATCATATGTTGGGTGAAAGTTTTTTTCTTTTAAAATTGTATATGTATATAACTCACATCATTGTTAGTATGTAAGTCAATCGTTACAGTTTTAAACCTTCTTCATCATTTGAGGTGAAATGGACATGAGTTACACATTGAGAGAAGGCTAAGATAACCCTTTGTAGTGAATATCACCGATGATTCTCCTCCTTGTGGTGAACTGGATCATGTGACCGGCTGTGAGAAGATGGGCATATCTTGGACTGATAAAAAGACCCCCTAGAAAGTCTCCATGTAGCCGATGATTTGTGTCTTGTTTTTTTCCCAAGAAGTCAAAGATTTACAAGCGAAAACGAGCAATTTGACAGAAGAGACAACGGAGACTGGATTTCAGGTTGATATAGAAAAGACAAGTGATGAATATACCTGGTAAACAACCAGTACCAATTAGCATTAGTGGGACAAATCTAAAGGAAGTATTCTTGTTTTCACTTACCTTGGCAGCATGGTGTCAACCACAGACGTCACAAATGAGGATATCAAATCCAGTCATGGTTGGGCAGGGAAAGCACGACAGACTTTCATTACTGTGAAATCAATGTGAAGCGATTTACAGCGCTCACTCAGCACAGGGAAGAAAATGCAGATTTTCAGGACTAATATTAAATAATTTCCCCGTATATAGTTCAGGGATATGCCACGTGCCTTACAGAAAGCATTTGCAACAGGCTACTGCAGACTTCAATCAACACCAGAAAGGATAAGCAATCTAGAAGGGGGGGACTCCGGCAATGAACTAACCAAGAAACTACTGCTTAGTAAATGTATTGAGCAAGAGCATGAAAGGGAAAAGAGAAGTTGGGTGTCTTAGGGTAACTTGAAAAGATCATGTGATAAGACGATGATAGCGTGCTTGCAATCAATCGTTGAGCCAGGTGAAAAAGACTTCAGGGAATAGAATACAATGCAGATGTCGTGCTAAAGTGTAGTGATATGATAATACATTACCAATCTTTTATATTCATCATAGATTTCATTGGGTTGAATATGTTCTTATTGTCAGATTAAAAATAATATACATGAACACGTCATTACTACGCTTGTTTACACGTCGAATGAATTGAAATGATTGAAACAGAGGTAGCTAGTTGGAGAAATGATTTCTTTTCCGCAAAATAGTGGTTAACTTATTTTAGATTTTGTAATTTGGGGCTTATCAATCCTAAGTTGCTTATTTGAGTGTGTATGTGTGTCTGTATGTGAGTATTTATTGTAATCTGGAGGAGACTGACAGATTTTTAAATTCGAAGAATAGTCCAAACTGAGTATTATTCATTATTAAAACACAAACTTGGTACATTATAGGCACCTAGAGATATACCATACAAAATATCATAGTTTATACGAGGGGTGGAGAAATATCCATATACCTTGACATAAGCAGGTTGGTTGTATTAAGGACCCCCCCCACCCGTGAAATTTTGATTTGATGTCTAATCCGAAAAGGAGTGGAGCTATGTTTCCCATGATTTCTGGAGACCAAAATAGCTTTATACGACATTCTATCCTTTTGTATTCTGGAAACTGTTTACATCATGGGCTTAAATTCGAGGTTTTCCAGTTCACTGGGGTGGACCTACACATCCACTAGTCTGGTTGTAAGCACCAGACTTTCTCACTCTCCCTTTCACTATTGTCAGAAACACTCCCGCAGTGGGAAAACATGGCTACATGAGTGGATGTTGAGAGGGAAACCGAAGACCACCGATTGCCATCCAAACGAAGAGTTGTTTATGCCAGACACTCGCCGAAAGGCAATGCATAACATTGATGGAAATTTCTTTTTCGACGAACTGTTTTACATGCTGAACAATCATATTCACATTCAATGGAATATTTATTATCACCAACGTAAAATAATGATGGTGTATTCTGGAAAGTGACACATGATAAAGGGGATGGAATGAATAAATGAAAAGTGAGAAATTATCAATTTTGAAGAGTTCGTTTGTAAGAATTAAATTTTTCTCTCTCGAGTTTGACCACGGATTGATATCAGTTAGAGAACCATTGAAAACCAGCACTGGACAGCTGCTTCGCCCTAGTTTGGGGATCCTCATCGGTACGCACCCACTGGGGTTCGAACCCAGGACCTTCTGGTTACTACATGAGCTCGTAGACCATTGAGTCACTGAATCCCCAACCAATGGTCCGTGAATCTCCTGTGGATGTGTAGTGTTCAAGAGTCCAAAACTATGACGAAACAACTGTCCAGGGCTCCTAAGTTCCCCAGTGGTTCTTTAACTGATGTCAGCTTGTGATCAGTCTTGAAGAGTGAAGAAAATGAAAATCGTTGTTACATAATAAATGAGAAGATGGCCCATTTAATGCAAATATGGAAAAATGGATATAGAAGTAGTCAAGATGGTGAATAGATATCCATATGAGGGAAAAAAGGGGTGTTTAAAAGGTTCCAACTGTCTCGAAGAAAACTTTCCACACGAATTTGAAGTTCTAGGGTAACATTGTAGCTGAAATTCTCAAAACACCCTCCACAAGTGTCTGGAGGAAGGTATTCACCTTATTCACACAGTCATCATCAGAATGACATTAACCAGTAGACAGTTGTTCCATCATTTCATTGAGGATAGGATATCGCTTCCGTTCACCAAACTCCTTGTTACTTTAGAACAAAGTATTTTGACTGTATGTAGCATCAATTTCGTAAGATTGTCAATAGTTGAATTCTTTGTCCTTGTTAAACCTGGAAATCTGACCCCTCTAGACGATTGATTCGAAGTAATGGCCAGCCGAGTCCTCCAATATCAACACCAAAAATCTTTTGGATATATACCATATTATTATTCCTTAGGATTTCGAGTTGAACGTTAGGCTTGAACAGCACATCTTCATGGCATTCTGTTCTCCTCATTGTCCGCTTTATTTGGCTTCATTATTGACCACACGTTTTCGTCTCCTCCATATCACCCTCGGATGCCCAACTTATCTTTTTCTACTCGTTTTTTCACTCAAGACCTTATCTAGCGTGTAATGTTACTCAACGGTATCCTAAGCATGTGCCGGATCCATCTTTTTTTGGCATCTTTGGTTGGGCACTAAGTTCATCTAGTTTACTAGCCAGTTCTAAGCCCGGAAAATTAGCTCAGTCACAAAAAAGGAAACTTCAATGCACAAAAGGAAACATCATCTCTATGGTAAAGTGAAATCTCTGACAGTGTGCTAGTCTAGATCTGATCTGTGTGTTTAATGTCATGTGCATACTCCGTCATCCATTTAACCCATAACCAGAAGAAAATATTTCCATCATAGTTTCGTTTAAATTTCTAATTTTTTATTCTTTTTATCTAAAATGCAGATTTCAGTTTCGCAGTTTCCTTTTTAATCCACACTTTTATGTTGATTTTCGCATATCTAAATTGACTGAATCCTCTTTCTTTTGAGGTATATTACATCAACATTATATCAACATTCGTTTCGTATCTTTCATCACTCACCATGCAAAACATTTCCACTAGAATATAAATACCGTTGGGTAATTGATTGCCGCTGCCTGAAGAGCACTCAGTATTGTGTTGTCTTGTATTTTATACTTGTAATAAGCGTATATAAATCCAAGTTACTCATCCGCTTTTGTACTCCTTTTTTCTCTCTCTCTCTCTCTCCTTTTTAGCTCACATTCTAATAAGCGTACAAAATCTCGTGGTACACCGCCACCACCACGTTTATGGTGTGATAACTGTCTTGTTTTCGATAGTCATGATACTAAAGATTGTCCACAGACGACTGCCAATAGCAAAAATTATCATAACAATGGTACACATATCAACAATGGAGTCATAAATAATAATAATAATCACAATAATCCACCATCATCAACAGATGATAGTCCTCATAGACGACCATCGAAAACTTATCATAAACATCGTATTTCATCGACAACGCAAAGAATATATTGTGATAATTGTGGTGTATTCGATGATCATATCACTGAAAGTTGTACAGACACACAAACATTTTAAAACAATACTCAAACTCAATAAAAATAAATCATTGATTTTATATTATGTATGCATATTTGTAATTCCACGAATATCTATCTATCAATCATCGATGCATGTCACCGTCGTTGTCATTTCATATTAACATTGCTATTACACTCTATCCCCTATAGACAGGCAGGCGGTGACTAAAGGTGAAATCTGAGATTTCTAGGTTTTGCTCTCATTGTATGCACACTATTTACGTCCGCACGTCCGCATGCACACATACACACAACAGAAATCTTTTACATCTCTTTGAGTAGTATCTGTTTCATTGGTGGTGATATCAATAATGACAGAGAGTGCAGATTCTTATCGGTTAGTACATTTAATTTTCGTCTGTTCCCCTCCCCCATGACAGGGTAATTAATTCGTTGGTTGTATTTAGTGCCTTATACTTTTCGTCATGTTTGATTTTTTTTTAAAGTAACAACTTGACGGTCTTTTCTATCATTTGTGTTATCGTCTTAGTTGTCCACGTTGTTATCGTTCTTTCTTGAGAGAGTGTGTGTGTATGTGTGCTGTCATGTCGTCTTCGCTTTCAGCACATTTTGCATTTTCCCTTCCACTCCTTCTTTCTTTCCTTGAAAAACCAGCAGTTGACTAGTAATCATGATAATCTTTTATAGGGTCAAATGTGAAATAGAGTATAATTTAAACAGCAACACACCTTCTAATATATTTATCTATCTGCCCTCCTACCTATCAACGTGCTCATATATACTTGTCTCAATTCGTTGCTGTTGTTGTTGTTAACACTATTATTATTATTATTATTACTATAAATGATAAAATAAATTCTATTTTCTTATTATCTATTGTGTTTTCTCCTAACAAATCTTTTTTATATTACAGGATTTCATAATAAGCTGACATCGATTAGAGGACCATTGCAAAACCTGCAGACAACACTGAACAGCTGTTTCGTCAGCCTAGTTTGGGACTGTTCAGCAGTACGCCCCCCACCGGGGCTCGAACCTGGGACATTCTGGTTACAAGGCGAGCTCGTAGACCCTGTGGGTGTGTACTGATGAAAAGTCCCAAATTAGGACGAAACAGCTATCGAGTACTCCCGGGTTTATCAATGGTTCTCTAACCTGTAACCATTCAATAAAATCCCTACAAATCACTACTTGAAAAGGTTTCATTGTCTTTCGGCAGCATATAATATCCTTTTGTATGCAAGTATAGTTTTGTAATGCATTTGTGAAGTGAGGCAAGTTATATCGATATATTCATTTAACTTTGACGTTTCAATTTCCTATGAATAACATCTACATCTATCGACCAAAGGGTGGGTGTTACTGCTCATCAGTCCGCTCCGTCCTCCTTTATGGTTGTGAGACCTGGCCACTGAGAGTGGAAGACATGAAAAGACCAGCTGTCTTTGATCATAGGTGCCTGCGCTCTATTTCCGGTGTAAAGTGGCATAATAAGGTGAGCAACATTAAAGTTGGGCGTCGAGTTCTAGGTAAAAAGGGGAAATCAATCGACGAAGTCGTGAAGTTACAAAGACTGAGATGGTTAGGACATGTATTACGTATGCCAAGCCATCGCCTCCCTCGACGAGCAATGTTAGCGGATATAGGGTCAGGCTGGAAAAAAGCTAGCGGCGGTCAAACAAAAACTTGGCTGCACCAGTCAATGAAATCCACAACAGTTGGTCTAAGCCACGTAGGAAGGTGTAGACTTCCTGACAGGCTGGGGTCCTCGGGACGGTAAAACTCTATGGTTGGAAACAATTGGTGACATGGCTCAAAATCGTTCTCAGTGGCGCAGATGCATCCGCTCCTTGTGACTTATGATTTTCAATGAAACTGTTTTGTTTTTCTTTATTACTCCTTTGTCTCACACCTCTGCTCACTGTTTCTATTATGCTTTTCTTGTACTTTCTTCTCTTGCTTCGCGTGCTACACGGAGTGTGGCGACTTGAACTGGCGCACATTTGTGCAAAGTTCTATGTCGAAAACAGACAGACAGACAGACATATGTGTGTGGTATTCCAATGGATAATGTGATTCTCATTAACTCAAGTATTTATTCTGACTGTCTTCGACACTGGATACTAAGGTGGAATCTTTATACACTTATTTCAGTCTGTGTAAAGTGGTTAGCGGTATCAAACCTCGTAAGATAAGTTTGGTTCGTAGCCTCCGATATTTGGGAAAAAAATTCATTTTCTATAGTTTGGTTTATAAGGGTTAGTTTTTTTCGATTTGATCACGGATTGATATCAGTTAGAGGACCATTGAAAACCAGCACTGGAGTACTTGACACCTGTTTCGTCCTAGTTTGGGGCTCCTCATCGGTACGCACCTACTACGGTTCGAACCCAGGACCTTTCGGTTACAAGGCAAGCTCGTATACCATTCAGCTACTGGGACCCGATTCAATGGTTCATGAATGGCTGGGGCTGCTAGATTCACGCTCGACCTTCCGAAGTTTTCGAGCTTCCTCACGGTTATTAAACTAGACAAGGTTTAGTATAGCGTCGGCCGGAAATCGAAACCGGATTATGTACTTTATGGGTGAATGTTCTACCGTTATACAACAGACGTACGATAGGCTATATTCGTTAGACTGCAGATGTGACAAATACTTGCAATTCAACGCAGTTGAGAATCGGTCACGTCGATTTATAAGGCTTATTGATACTACTTGACTGCCCAAACCTCCGTAGGTGGAGATGGGTTCAAATCTGTGACTCATTGGTTGAAAGTTGAGCACCGAAATCGATGGGGCACAGCTTCGCTGTATTTTTTTTTCTGGATACTGTTGATAAAATGTTGGCTGCTGACTTATACGAGTAGTTGGTAGAGTAGACACAGGAATTGATGCTAGTGAAATAATAACAGACCTCCTAGAAATGCAGTAAAAAGAAGATTTGATGCACATTGTCTCTTCACAACCACTCCGACTTTACGTTTGGGAAATACAGATAAACTGCCTAATTTCTCCCCCTTTCCCCTTATGTGCATCTATCAGTTTGACTGCTTCTATGCAGCT